ATATATATTATGAATATATAGTATATATATGATATACACTATATGATTTGAATAGAACTTCCATTATCTGAAATGTAATAAGATGCTGTTCACAATTCGGATGATAAAATATTCGATTAATAAAACATTTTTCGAATATTAGGATATTCTAATAATAAATGTTCTATTATAATTTATTCTTAAAATGAAAAATTTAAAGTTAATTATTCAGAAGATAATTTTTCATTTAAAAATATAATCATAATAATCTGTATGGATTAATTTCAATTTTCCATTGATAAAGTTATTGTTTTTATCTAAAAAGAATATCTAAAAAAATGAATAGAAAAAATATTTCAAATTTATATGTATGTATATATATGTATGTATATATAATATATAATAATATATATAGAATATAATCAAATAACTGTGGAGTATAATTTTTTGCAATATATATATGGTTTTTAATATCAATATATGCAAATATGTACATTGAAGTTATATTATTATGCAAGATGTCAATGATATAAGTTACAAGAGGATAAATTTATATGGAGAAAGAAAAAAGAATAACATCTTTTCATTTAAGATTTTATTTTTGAATAAATCTATGTTGAAGATTTATTAGACATTTTTACTGAAATGAATATATGTTTTTATATGATTTTATTTATATTTATATCTAAAAATATAATTGTGTTTTTCTAATTACCATTTCGATTTTTAACTTTAGATGTTAAGAAATTATTAAAATAAAATCATATCTCAATCAAAAATTTTGAAAATTTATATTGTTGATAATATCTTCTGTTTCTTTTTGGCAATATAATTGAATTCTATGTAAAAACTTTTATGAATATTTTTCAAGATGTTTTTTTTTAAACGAAGACTGTAGATAATATTTTTTATTGGAAGTACTTAAAATGTCCTCATAATAAGCGATTTAATGGGATCTTATAAGTAAATCCATGATCAGGAATGACGTTAATTCAGAAAATCATAATGGCTAATATTGTATCTCCACAACTGATCCAAATTGAATTGAACTAATATTATGTAGAAATAAATTATATATGTATTAATAAGTTTTATACTAATTCTGGAATTCTGTTTTTAGGAATTGGAAAATTTAATTTTGTATATTTCTTTTAAGTGATGGAAAACAGCCGTCGCGCCGTATTGAATATTTCAAATGATGCATATTCTGCAAATATTCGCTCGATTCTTTAAATCATCTATTCAGTCAGTGATTTTTGTAATAATTAACCATAGATATATTGCGATATATAAATATGTTCTCTGTTATTATATATCAATACAACAACAAATTTAAAATAACAAATCATACATTAATAAGGTTCATATATGCAGATGATATATGATAACAAAAACTAGTTTATAATATAATTAAGTATATATGAATTCAACAAATCTTTAATATCTTGAATTATTCGATTTAATCGAAATTTTAACCAAAAAAAACATCATTCTTTTTTTCGATTTATTTTTTTATGTAAGTTCATCTTGCAGTTTATAGTTTGTGAAATCGATGACACTCTATACATATATAATATAATAATGAAAAACTTAATTTATTTTTGGTATCTAGAAATGGTATCTAAGAATAAATGAAAAATAGAATATTTATTGTATTCTAATGTAATTATTCGAAAAATAAATATATAATTCATGTGTAAATATTAAATATAATAATATATTTGTATAAAATATTTAAAAATACAAATCAAATATTTTATAATTATAAATAGTGTATTATAATTGTATATTATAATAGTATATTATAAATTATATTATATTTATATATTATTATATATTATTATATATATTATATTATAATTATTTAAGAAATATTTGTTATTTATATTTTATTAGATATTTTAACTTATTTCAAATTTCGCTATTTATTTTAACGAAGTACTAATTTATTCATTATAAATTCTCTTCAAAGAATTTACGTACGATTTCTCTAAAATTATTATTCTAAAATTTTAATATTGCATTTTTCAATTCATTGTCTATATTAAAATAATTTCCAATCATATTTTTAAATATGATATATATCATATGATATATCATATTTTTAGTTTTAAAAAATTATATGGCAATATGTTTAGATTAAAATTTTGTACATTTTAAAATTTTCGTACATTTTAAATTAAGTTTAAAAATTTTTAAATACAAGTCAAATTAACAAATACATTTGGATAAAAATGAATTATTAATAGTATGTTATTTTTCATTTTATATGTTCTATCTCTAATTTTTTTAAAAAAATTTAAGCGACAAAATTTTATTCTATATTTTTTAGTTATTTTCATTTACATTTGATAAATTTTCAAATTTGTTTTATTCGGAAATAAAATCTCAAATAAAAAAATTTTATTCTTCCTTTTCGATTTATTTTTTCATAAGAAATCACCCTCTGCCGATTATATCACAAATAATTATAATGTATGTACATATATGATGAGATTTGTGTCATCATTAGTCTCATCATTAGCTATAAAACGTGTCTCGAAACTAGTAGATTTGAAATCATTTGGAATTATTTTGAATTTCTATATATCAATCTATATATACCAATTATTTTGAATTTAATCGTCACAGGATTCGAAACGAAATTATGAAGGAGAATCTACGTATTATAATATATAGTTTTTCAAGTAAAATGATTCTTCAATATTTTTACAAATAAAAGAAATTAATATATATTATTAATATAAAAATTTATATAGAGAAAAAAGGAATATTATAAAAGTGATCAAAAAATTTATTATGAAAAATATATTCTTTTAAATATCATTATTAAAAGTATTAATAAATCAAAAGATTTATTAAATTTTTTTCATATAGAACATTTGATTTTTATTTTATTTTAAATTTAATTCGTCAATATATTCAAAAGAAAAATATACACTTTTAACATTTTATTTTCTCGTTTTGTGAAACAAACTGACTATTTTTCTTTTCAATATCTTATTCGCGTAAGGGAATGACTATTTGTTTGAGAAACAATAAAAAGAAATTGATTCCAAAGAAAATTACTTCATCAAAATCGAATATATTGCAATGAGAGATTTACTCAAATAAAGAAGTAATATTTCTAGAGAAATTTTATAGAGAAAATATTATATTCGAATATAATATTTTTGGAAGATTAATTTTATAGATCAAAAGTTGATAAACAAAAATATCGATTAATCGTTTATTTATTTTATGATAAAAAATTTAAAAATTTGCGTTTTTTTATTAATTATTTAATAATTTAAATAAACAAAACAGAAACAAAATGCGAAAACAATATATATGAAAGAGACAGAATAATCTCATTCTATTTTCGTCTCGTTTCATGTAGTACAAAATTCAATTGCTTATAACTTAATAAATAAGCAAGTAACATTTTTTTTATATCAATTTTTGTGTTTATTTTGAGATCTCTAGAATCAATTCTTTTCAATATATTTATTGTTAATATTAACGATTTATTAATATATTAATAATAATTAATTTTTATGTTATATAATTAAAAATTTGTATTTTGTGCCTGAAAAGAATGAATATTAGAAAATGTATCTTTATGTTTGAAAAGAATGAGTATTGGAAACTATTATTTAAAATTTGAAGTAGATTGAATAAAAATTAATTGAATTATTTTGATCTTGAGGTTTTAAAAATTTATAACGTTTGACTAAATTTCATGAAAGCTAAATTTTTTACTGATGTAGATATCATTCTTTCATATTAATAAATATAATTTTTAAAAAAACTAAATATGAGCAAATTTGTCAAGAATTTGTCGGCAATTAATATATGAAGTATTAATCTCAGATACGAAAATTTTATTTAATGTAATCATCATATATATAAATATATAAATATCGTAAAGCATATTTTCTTATTGATATAACGAATTATTTCTTCTGATCCGATATTTTTTTTTTATACAATTTTTTTCTTTTTCTATTTAAATTTCCATTAAATAAAAACTTTGTCATTGATAATTTTTCCTTATTTATTTATGAATTTTATATTTTTTAATTTACTTAATAAACGAATTAAATTTTATTTGTTTATAAATTATATCCTTAATTCATTTAAAATTAATTTCTTCTTTTATATTATTAAATACATATGGAGCAATTTTATTTACAACAGAATATTTTTTTGAGAAAGTGTGTGTAAAGTTAAGTAAAGTCTTTAAAGTTTAAAGTTCCAGCATTTTTTTGAAAAGATACCCTGTATACAATTTATTATATATAATTTATTCTATATTAGATCACATTCATAAAGTTTCATTATAAATAAAAGATAAAAGAATTTTTTTTTATTTATAACAAAAATAAGTGTATATATGAAATAATTTTATCACTTAAAGGAAATTAAATCAGTACTAAAAATTTCAATGATTTTTTTATTTTTTAAATATAAATATTATGTTATGTAAAATAAAATTTTTCAAATAAAAAATGCTTGTTACTTTTATATATATTATATAACTTTATTATAATATGTTATAAAAAAAATTCTGAGTAAAATTATATTAAAAAAATAAAAAAAAAATTTAGATTTTTGATTTTTTTCTCTTAAAAAGATTTTAATAAAAAAATTGCTCCATATATAAATCTTTTCACATATATACAAACTTTTATTAAAATCAGAATTTTTCTTTGGATAAATTTTCTTAAGATAATATAACACAATGGAGAGATAATATAATGGAGATTATGGAGATAATATAATTTTCTATTATGATGTATATATATTCATCAAGCAAGAATAAACAAAAAACTTACCACAAGAAGTTCTCGAGGCAAGTCGCCGCCATTGTTAATTCCACGGTTCATGGATATGAACTGTTCCACGCTAGGTTTATCCTTGACGCTCGGATTGTGCAAGGACGTGTTTAACATGATGATAGCAAAACTGAGCACGTAACAGGTGTCCGTATTCGTAAATATATTTGGATTCAACTGGCAATACCTCTGTGCAAAGCACTCCATCATTCTATCGATCTTTTGCGCCTCGCCGGGCAATCGGAACGACCAAAGGAACTGTCGAAGGGCTTGCACGAGGATCAAATCGGTGAAATCATGCAATTCGACGAATGCCCTCAACACTCTTTCGTTAAAGTCGTGCCTTTCACCAAGGTAATCGCCGATCGCAGTTTTGTTAAGACCTTCGCCCTTGTAAAGGAATTGGGCAACGTCCTCGGGCGTTGGCGCTAGCAGATTGTGCTCGATCAGGTACTCAATACCCTTCTTAGGATCCATGTTGAATTTCTTACGGCCGATCGACGTCTGCTTAGCCTTATTCGATGGCTTGGTCTCATCGGTGGCGAGACCACCGCCCTCCATCGCCTCCATTTCAGCCACCACTTCACCCAGCTCATCTTTCAATTGCTGCAACAGAAACGGACGGGTCAACAAAACTGCATGAAAATGGCTTCCACGTTCTGTTCGATATCTCGAATTGGGGGGTTATCCTTGATTCTTTGCTTGTCCCGAATTGAACTAATTAATTGATCTAATTAATGCGATTTACCCTCTTTCGGAGGGCGAATTTGAACGTATTGTTTCGAGATTCTAAAGTTACTAAGTAGATCGAAGATTTAAACGAAAGTTGTTGTTTTAAGCTTAATCCGATTAATTTTGCGGATAAAATCGGAAAATTATATATTTTCTCTGAATTTATATTTATATTTTTATTTAAATTTTTATTATATTTTTTAATAGTTAGAATTAATTTAAGAATAGAATTTAGACGTTATTTATTATATAATTTTATATTGCTACATATCTGTAAAATGAGAGAAAATTTAGATTACTTTAAAGTTAATTCAAAATTTAAAATTTTTTTAAAATCTTGAAAATGTTGAAAAGTTTTAGATTCGAAACTTTTGAGAATTTTGTTTTACTTGCATTATTTATTACTTGTTTTTTAAAGATTGACAAATTGGTTATATATAACTTCGATTTGAAAACAAGATAATAACGAAAAATTAATATTCTCAAAATTTTCAAAAATTTTAAAAATTGTTATATTTTGAAAAATTTAAAATGATTATATATAATACAATTTTCATTCGAAATAATTTCAAATTTTATTATTAATAATAATATTAGATAGAAAAAAAATATATTGGTTCTAGAAATAAAAATATATTGATCTAGAAATATATTAGAAATATATTAAAAAGTTAAAAAAGAATATATTAAAAATTTGTTAGTCATATAATTATTATATGATTTATTTTAATATAATTATTTAGATAAATAATTATATTTAAATACATATTATTAATTTTCTTAAATAAGATTATTTGAAAAGATTATTTATACAAAAGTAAAATTCTTGGCTTATTTTTTAATATGATATAATAGTATCAAATTGAAATCAATTTTTAAATTTTAATTATTAATTTACTTATTATAATTAAAAATCTAAAATATTTTCTTCTCATTTTAATACTCGATTTGTTGTAATTTATTTAAAAATCTTAAAAAGCTTAAAAAATCCATTAAATAGAATCTATTAAATAGAAATTTATTTTTGCCTGCTATTAAATAAAAATTATATATCTACTATGTGCATAAAATATATTTTAAATTACTGGAAAACAATTAATTTATAAATAAATTTAATTTTTTTAAACAATATATTTTGTACTATATTTTTTATGAGATATCTTTTAACTATTTAACTATAACTTCATTTTATAGTAATAAGTAGATAGTGCATCGAATTCAACCAATTGTTTATTCAAATCTATTTAATAACAAATATCCAATGCGACATATTTATGCGATCTATAATTAACCACTATTTTTATCACTAATAATTCACTAACAAAGCCGAAACGAAAATTTTCATAAAAAAATGGCTTGAAATCATAATTAAATATTGATTGACTTTTACTACATTCTATATCTTTCTATATTCTTTTCTCTCATATTTGATATCAATGAATATAATACGTATAATATGTATGATATGTATATGTATATACGTATAATATGTATATCTTATCAGATTTAATTTTTTTCGATTCTTTTTAATTGCTAAATTCAATTCAATATCGATTTGAATAATTTCGAACTCAATTTTCACATAATACATTGATATTATATGTATTGATAGCATACATATTATATCGATACTATAAGTATTTGAATACTATGCTTAAAAATTACGAGAAAGATTGATATCATATCTATTATTAATAAAAATTTTATTATTATTATTATATTATATTATATTATATTATATTATATTATATTTTATTTTATATAAAAAAATATTAAAAATTTTTTTAGAATTAATCGATCTTTTATAATAAAAAAATCGTTTTCTTTGGTAACTTTCTTCTCGCATTTATTTCTATCATTTTTTTTCACCTTCGATTCTTTATAAGAATCTTACTCGGCTGTACCTCCAATGCTTAAAAAAAGTTTTTCACCTCACGTGCTCTCGTCTTTCTGATCTAGATAAGTGAAGATCTTTTCAAGGGTGAATATCAAGGAGGGAAACGTTATGAATGTCATATTGAATATAGAGTATAGAGTGTAGAGTTTAGGCGTTTAAATAACATGATGAGTTTCGCATTTTAGGATTAGGAATTATTATTAGATTTGCGAAAATTTATAGTAACATTAAGAATAGGATCATCCTACAATAATTACAGAACCTCGAATTATATATATATATTCTTTTAAATATTACTCCTGATAGTTATTTTTTTTATACAATCTTTGTTAATCGGAAATTCATCCATTATACACAGTTAATATTTATCGATTAAATTCTTTCTTATCGATATAAATAATTTTTAATAATGATTTTATAATAAATCATAAAGAGCATCATTTTCACTTTTTACGTCGAAAATTAGCTATTTTCAAATTATTTTCAAAAAATTATTATATCATTGAATTTTATCTTATTTATGATAGTATAGGATCCTTTGAATCTACAGAATGTGAAAATAAAAAAAAAATAAAAACATTATATATAAAATATTTTTAGAAAACTAAATTAATAACCTAAGTTATGATATAATGAATACATATCAATTTTTTATTTAATAGTTTCTTTTCTCTCTTATATAAAGATAGACATAGGTACATTACAAAAAAAAAAAAAAAAAATTTAAAAAGATTCCGTTCAAATTTATATGAAAATAAATTATTGACAAACTGTTCATCCTTTATGCATACTGATTGTCAATTATTAAATTATTTATATAAATAATTTATAAATATTGTATAATATGATTAACATATTATATAATAGTGATTAACAAATATTAACATATATATTGTATCACATGTACATATATAGATAGAATAGTATAATATCAAAAATATTTTATAAAAAATAAATTCATCAATTATATACTAAAAGAAAAAATAGTATTGTATTATTTTTTCAAAATGGCTCAACTCAATATAAACTCAATTAAATAATATAATATATAGTAAATAGTAAATATATTCGTTAGAGAGAATTCTAGAAAGAATTTTCTTTAGAAAATCAATTATAGAAATCAAAATCAAACACAGAAATTAATATATAAAAATTTTGCTGCAGATTTATTTATTAAATTATGAAAAATTAAAAGTTATAGATTATATTATATAAAGCGAGACAAAAATAGAATAAGATAAATCTTTCTCCGTTACATCACTGTCATTCTGTTTTATTTCATCTAAATTTAAATTGTAATTTAAATTGTAATTTAAATTTAAATTATTTACAATTAAATCTCAACCAGCATTTTAGTATATTTATTTTTGTGTTTATTTTGAGATTTAAAATCGATTTTCCAAAAAAATTTTATATATATTATATATATTAAAACTATATACGTATATTAATACATATATTATACGTTAGAGATTTCAACATATATGCACGAGGGAAAATATAGAAATAATGACGAAATGAATGGAGGACATCGATATATGCTATAAAAGTAACATTTTATAATCAGTGATAAAAATATTTCTAACTCTAAAATTAATAATTTTTATTAAGCTTTTTTTGTTTGTTTTAAAGTAAAATTTAAAGTAAAAAAGACATTACACACTTTTAAAATTCAATAATAATTTTTATAAAATTATATATATTATATTTCAATATATTTTATAAAATAATTTTTATTTTGTACAATATAATTTTCAAAAGAATCGATAATAATTCTTAAACTTATATTAATTTATAAAATGCGAATATTACAAATATATTAAAACAGTTCACCAACTACTACATGTACAAACGCATAAATTTTCTACCAATTTTACCAATCGTAATTTGCAATTTCCTTCTATGGTATTTCTTGATCTACAATCGGATTTGGAAAACATATCGCGAATTCTATTTTTTTCATTTTCCTTTTCAAGCTACTAAACTGTGTTTATTTTTTTGAAAGTGAAATAATGAATATATGATAATATATGAATAATTTTACTTATTGTTTGTTAACGCTAGTACTATTGATTTGTAATACGAAATCTATAATAAATAATAGAATAATATAATATAATATTTAAATATTTTAAATAATATTATAAAAATTATTATTTATAATATTATAGTATTATAAATATTATAAATAATTGTGATTAAAATAATGCTATGAAAATAAATAAATAAATATTATTATATATATTTTTATTTTTCTTTTAATAAAATACAATATTAATTTTACCAAAAATATGTTTATATTTCTAATAATCGTAAGACAAAAAATGTGATAACTATTTGATAATTCTTGATAAATATTATATACATTTTTTTCATTATAGAAAAAAATAAACATTTCTTTTGTTTAAAAATTTATGTTTTATATTAATATGTATTATGTTTTACATTAATATGTTAATGTAAAACGTAATTTCTTTAATTATGAGTAATCATAAAATCCAAATAAAATTTAATAAAGTTTTCAAATAAAAAGTGACGAATTAATTTTTTAATTAATTGATACAAATTCTTATATTTTAAATGTTTACATATAAGATAATTTGATAAATTTTGATTTTAGCAATGCACGTTTATAAAAATTTAAAATCTATTGGTATGATTCACCAATGATTACTAATTCAAAAAATTTTATTAATTTGATATTTGCAATATGATAGGTTCGAAATTTTTGTGCTTAATTTAATACGATTAATTAAATGTGAGAAAATTTATATTCATTAAATTTTTTTAGAAGTAATTAAAAAATTATTTTTTTATATTTTTTATTATTTATATTTTTATTATATATATTTAT